CCCGACAGGTAACCTTAACCCTGCTGCTCTTTTGCTGGTGTTTAGTGAGCGGCGGGAGAGGGTTGTCCGACTTGCCGCCGTACAGGAACACGGGACACGCTGTGTACACCATCGCACGATCTGAGGTGCGAATCCCTCGTCGCATTTTGTGTTTTGTTTTCAGTTTTTCATCGTTTGGTGGACCAAACCTCGGCCATAGCTTAAAACCTTTATTGTATCGCATGTGTTTTAATCCTGTTGATTTTTCCGAAAATTTTGAATGCAAATCCTTACAATATGCAGGTGGGTTTTCTTGTACTTGTTACTTCCTAGTTAATTTTTTGCTTTAATTTGATCCCCGGAACTTAGGAAGCCGACAATGTATATGATAATCACATGTTCCTGGAAGCTTGGTTACCAATTAGCAAACAAAACGACTAAATATTCTGTTGTAGGATCTTCAGGAATTTGTTTCTTCTGGTATTTGAAGTATGAGGTATGCTGATCTGACTTCTTAATGTAGGGCCTGAGGGGACTTTATGCCGGCTTTTATCCTGCAGTCCTGGGATCAACCGTTTCTTGGGGGCTATATTTCTTTTTGTAAGTTCCATTAGTTCATTCTGCTGACCTGTTGAATAGTTGTAGTGTGGAGCATTCAATGCTTTATTTATCACTGAACTATCCCAAAGCAATCTGCTAATTTCAGAATTTAATTTCACTTTTTTCCTTTTCCTATATAATGATCCTATGCCACAGTTTACCGATTGGATGCTACTTACAGTAGTGCTGGCATTTTGACTAATGTTACAAACGTCTGTTTTGACAGTTACAACAGAGCTAAACAAAGATACTTACAGGAGAAGGATGTTCAGCTCCGTCCATTCGACCATCTTGCCTCAGCTGCAGAAGCAGGTGCTTTGGTTCGTACAGTAACTCCTGATCTAGTGTCTTTTTGTGATTTTGTCAGATTGGAGTTTAATGAAATTTTAGAATATAACTAGGCCTTTGATAGCAAGCCTAACCTGACATTTATTCTGACTGCCAACATGTGTTGGTGTTATTTGTTCACCTCAATTGTCTTCATCAAAATATCATTTATTCATGACAAATGTATTTTTCTTGTGTTTATACAGGTTTGCCTGTTTACAAATCCCATATGGCTGGTGAAAACACGGATGCAACTACAAACACCCGGGCATACTTCGTCTTATTCTGGATTTTCGGGTAATATATGCTTATCGTACTTGTATTTTTATTTTCTATAAGTATCATACAGCATACATATCGTACTAGAGTTGTGACTTGTTTTCTGTTGCAAATGAGTGACTCGTGCCATTCTTAGTTCTATGTGAAGCTGCTAAAATTAGTCTTATTTAGTTGAGCTCGTGAAAAAAGATTGTTTCAAATCATGATAGCCATGAATTGTTTGTGTGCATCCTTCATGCCCATATTTCTTTCGGTCTATAGTTAGTACAAAATTTTGTGACCTTGCTTATTTGGTCGCTATGAAGCCAGATGCTTTGAGAACTATTCGGAAAGAGGAGGGATGGCGAGCACTTTATAGAGGGATCGGACCTGGACTTTTGCTGGTATGCATCTTTTTTTTTGTGCTGAAATGCTGTTTAGTATTGTGCTGCTTTTCATTACAATCCTACAAATTTAGTCATAAAACTATTAGCCCCATGCTGTTTTAAGTAGCTCTAGATACATGAGTGCAATAACATGTAGCTGTCCTTGACTCAGAATTATATATGTTCTGTGACTTCAGTTCATTCTTTTCTTGAATTTGTTGACCCAAATCTATGTCTTATCACTACCATTCATGGTATGGATTGATTTTTTTAAGTAGCACCTGGGTTTTAAGATGTTAGCATTCTACACTTTTCTCTGAGGTGTGGCCTATCAGATTTAGCTACATGCTTCAGGTAATATCCTCTTGTGAGGCTCCAACTAGAGAATGTGGGACGTCTTATTACTTGGATCATAGCTAGTCATGTTTTCCTAGTGCTATCTTGATGTCGGAAAATTACCTTGTTACGGAGATTATTCTTACAGTTCTCAGCAAGAAAGGAACTAGGAAGGTCAGATAAACTGTTTTATGTTGTAGTTTATTTAATATACATGTCAATGTCAGAATTTCCCAACGGTGCTTGTAGGAATTCGGTCGCTGTAAATTGTAATTGTGCTTAAGCAGAGGTTATGTCTATACCAGTTTCAATTAGTAAAGATGCATATGTTGTGGACTGTTGGGATAGTAACATTCTTAAGCATTTCTTCTGTTTTACTGTGATATCGTTGATGAATACATGCACTAATGTTTATTGCTGTGCCGTCATTGAAAGGTCACCCATGGCGCGATACAATTCACTGCCTATGAGGAACTTCGCAAGGCTATGATATCTGCGAAAAGTAAACAAACAAGGGGAGATGACAAAGGCAGCGAGGATTTATTGGTAGGCACCTAGTGATTGCATGTGTGCTCAGACATTAAACATCTAGCTTAATTTACAGTATAGACATTCTTATGTTTTCCCTGGATAAGTCTGTTCAGATGTTCGGAATTTTTCTTAAATTAGGTTGCTTAAACTTATGTATGACCATCCTTTGTGATATGATACAGCATGTGAACTGTGAAACATAGGAGGATATCCTCACTTGTGAAGACCGTCAAGTAGTCAAATATAGGTGTTATGTAATATTGTTTCTTAGAAACCCTTATTTGAATATCAGTTACATACAAATTGTATGATGCATAAGCTGATTCAGGGCAATCAATATTCTTAGAACATTTAGGTAAAGTTATGTCTGCTTTCAAACACATTCTCTATCTGCTAGATGGGCAATTAATATGTCTGATATGCATTTGCCTTCATTATCAACAGAACTCCGTTGATTATGCGGCACTTGGCGCTGGTTCAAAATTATCTGCTATTCTGCTTACTTATCCTTATCAGGCAAGATTTAACTTCTGTTTATTCCCATCAACTTCATAAATGGTTGCTGCCGTCTTACTATACATACCAACTATGTATTTTTTTTTGATTTGCAGGTTATCCGAGCCCGCTTACAGGTTGGTTTCAGATTTAAAGCTCTGCATTTCATTTCTTTGGAGTTTAGCAGCAATAATAATAGTTCTTGTCTGCAAATTTTCAGCAACGACCTGGTAGTGATGGTATCCCAAAGTACTCAGATAGTTGGCATGTAGTGAAGGAAACTGCGAGGTGAGGGTCATTAAAGCTTCAATTAGATAAAGTTTTGGACTTCAGGTGGCATTACCGTTTCACGGAATCTGATGTTAAGCCATGGTTTATCTATCTTATTGTCTTATTTAATATGCACCTTACCTGGCTTTCTTTTCTCAAGCTTGGTCTACACTTCTGCCCACTGATCATCTATATTCTTCATTAATCTGTAGTTATAATGAGTATGCTGCATGTCATGTTTTTTGTTGTGACTTTGCTGGTCCTGAATGTTGGTTGTGCTACAATTTTGAGCAACGGTAACACTTACACATTTTGTTTGAATTCTCAATTTCTGCTGCAGGTACGAAGGTGTCCGGGGTTTTTACAGGGGCATCACGTCCAACCTGTTGAAGAACCTTCCAGCGGCTTCTGTGACGTTTGTGGTGTATGAAAATGTCATCAAACTATTCAGAGCAACCAAGGAGAAGACGTAGTTCCAACTTGCAACTGAAGCCAGGAGAAACATAGGAGGAAATAGGGAATATACTACTGTTCCATTCAAATACAGAATCTGTTCATTCACCACACTATCCGAGCTGAACGTGATGTTCCATCACATTTCCCAGTTCAGCTCTTGTTCATTTAACACAAACGGGATTTAGTTTGGCAAACTTGTTTTTTGTAGAGAAAACTCATTTTCTTTTTCTTCACGAAGGAATAGCTCATTGATTCATGTTGTCCAGTTAAATGCTTGTTGAATATAGTGCTGGTTCGCTCTGTGGTTCAACGTGTGATTGTGTGAGTTAATTTTTATGGAAACGCTTGGGTTCACCCGACTGGTTTCAGTAAGAAATCTGCAAATTCTGCACACGACCACCCAATCCGTAGGTGTTGGAATTGGCAAGCCAATGTTGTTGTGAGGCGCGGCAACTTCTAAGAGAGCGACGACCACCAGATCTGTAGGTGTTGCAATTGGGATTTGATGGCTTGCAACGTCGATGATGTTTCTGAAACACAATCAATGTTGCAACGTGTGAGGCGAGGGGAGCTGCTTAATGGATTGCAAGGTCGAGCCAATGTTGCAATGCGAGAGGTGAGGGGAACGCTGGAGCCGCTTAAGGCCTTGTACAATGCGAGGAGCGGTACTTAAGGAAAGTTTGATTTATTTCTCTAAGCATCTTCCATTATACAAGGCCTAATGGATTGCAATGTCGTTTATGTTTCTAAAACATAGGCGTTGTTTCAAAAGGAAAAAAAATGGTTTGACGGGAGGGCAACAAGGCTTGTGTTGCAAAGCACCAGGCGCAGGACGTGCCTTGTTGCAAAGGAGGGCCCTGCCGTGCGAAAAATCGGACCCGACGCGTAGAGCTCCCCTAATTCTGAGTTCCTCTCCCTTACTCTGCCGGACTACAATTCTGATTCGGTATGGCCGTATGGGGGCTTCACTTCCGAATCGAGTCCGGCTCTCTCTCGTCTCAATCGCACCTTCCTGCTATAAAAGGAGCCCCAGACGCGCAAGCACATACCGAGCAAACTCGTGAACGAACACCTCCACCGCGGCCCGAGACCCTTCCCTTCTCCGCAGTCCGCCCGTGCAATCGCAGCGACTAGACATGGCCATGGCCATGGCCGCCGTGAAGGAGCACGTCCTGCTCAGCCAGCCCGACAAGCAGGTCCTGCTCGCCGAGATCCCGGCCTCAGGCTCGCGCGATCCGCAGCCGACGGTCACGCTCCGGCTGCTCGTCGAGCTGTGCAGCGACTACGGCGCCGGCCCCGCGGACGTCGACACGATGGAGGACGTGGCCTGCCGCGTGCCGCTCGCCGACCTGGGCCGCCAGGGAGCGGCCGACCGGGCGTTCAAGGCGCTGGTGGCCCGGATCGACAACCCGGCGCTGCGCCCGGAGGTCGCGGCGGAGACCGCGGCGGCCGCGGCGCGCGTCCGGGCGAGGTGCGTGACCGACGACCGCGACGGGCTCCGCGGCGTCGAGTTCCGCCTCCGCGTCGTGTTCGTCGACGACGCGTCCGAGGAGGAGGAGGAGGCGGACGACGACGAGTGCGGGAGCGACATGGAGTTCGGGGAGTTCGACCTGAGCGGCGCGCGGAGCCTACGCGGCCAGCAGACCGACGCCGGCTACGACTACGACTACGACGAGGACGACGAGGACGAGGACGGCTGCGGCGCCCAGTTCACGGTGCGCCCGTACCGCGGCGCCCCCACGCGAGGGGGAGGAGGGGCGCCGTCGTCGTCCCTGCTGCTGTCTGGCTTCGAGGCGCGCTCCGACGGGCCCGAGCTCACGGAGGAGCACGAGGTGACGTCGTACGACATACAGCGCGTCGTGCGCATGGCGCTGGGCGGCGGGAGCGTGGAGGACGACGAGGCCTACCGGCGCGCGCTGGACGGCGGCGCGCCCGTGTCGCCGGCGTCGCGCGCCGCCATGGTCGGCCGGGCGCTGCAGTCCGCGAGGCAGCAGCAGCAGCGGTCGAAGTCGCCACGCCCAATCTTCCCGATGCGTACCGGATTCTGATGCGCGCCCGATTGGATTGGATTGCAAACCTCTCGACGTTACTCGTGTGGTTCGTGAAGGGCTAAACCTGCTGCGATTTGTATGTCTGTATAAACCTATTTTGTAGCCATCCATTGAAGTTCGATTCATTTCTTCTTGGTAGAAAATATGCACCTGCATCTTACCATGGCCGAAGTAAATCAGGAACGATATGTTAGTCAAGATATGTTGATCTCTTGCAACATGCATGTGATGATGTTGATCTGTTATCAAAATCATAAGAATTTGTTTCCCCTTTCTCTGGTGATGACACTAGCATACATCTGGCAAGAATGTGAAGATTTTTTTGACAGTGCTACGGCGGGCTTACACCGGCGTGAACCATTTTCATTATAAATAAGAGTAAGATACAACACATCAGGTACAAAAGATGGCATCCAACATACACAAGAAGGCACCAGAAAAGAGTTACGACAAGCAGCCAACACCAAGAATGTGATGGATTGATTGCATTGCTGAATTCCTCTGCATTGCAGAACTGTTGGGTATACAATTTGTAATGTAATATAAATACATGGAGGGGATAAATGTGGCATGTCGATGCATGCTTTTGTTAGTTTTGTTGCCTTATACATCATTTCTAAAGTCAGGAAATATCTGACAGAAACCTATGTCTCAATTTATATACACTTGTCAAGAATCAGCCATGCTGTCGCCTTCGGTCGCTGGGCGCAGTTCTGGTTTCTGTTCTTGTTCCGGACTCCTGATAAAGAAAGTAGAATCCCCACACACAAAAAGGGAAAAAGATCAAGAAAGTTAGATAATACATAGTTGGTGTTTTGAGAGACCTCTCCTAAGCCATGAGGTTTCCCATTTAAACCCTGACATGAGGAGCTTTTAAAATATAGCTGCTAGACAGCGATTTGAGATGCAGTAGAGTCTGCAAAGAAGGTGTGCTTACATCCCAGAGTCCATTTTGACCGTGGTATGATTAGGCTCAGCACAAACAATTGCTTTGTCATCATCCACACTGTCCTGTGTAGGAAGAAACACAAATAAAGTAAACATGAAATGTTCAATTAAATAAGTTATATCATAGAACTAACGCACCATTTTACTCAGATTGGCGGGATGCTGCACCGTCATTTTGGGGGCATTCAAAGGACTTCTCAGAGTACCCTGAAATTATCTGAGGTTAAGTAGTAGTGACGTAGCAAATTGCTAGCAGGTGTCATAAACATCAACAGGTAATCGGTTAGGCAATTTGTAAAGCAGTTAAATTTGAAGAATTTGGTTAGATTCACGCATGCTGCTTTTGCTTTTTTTACATGCTTTAAAAAACATAACAGGCATCAAGGTTGCTAAAGTGAGGAAAGTACCTTATTTGCCCACATCAAGCCACAAGCATTACAGAGGGTCCTTGGGCCAGCCGGCCCCCGACGCATTGCTGGAGTAAGCCTTGAGCTGACACCACAATTTTGACAACTAGGAAAGCAAACCAACATTAGCCCATAATAAACACAGGGAAAAACCTTCTGTGTATGAAGTGATGAAACGTGATTTGCACGTACACATGTCATCACAACTCACTCACTGGGATTCTCGGAAATGATCATCCTCGCCATCGGCTGCAGAGACACAAGCTGCAGAAGAACTTGCAGCATCACCAAAATCTGCCCTTCCAGCAAACTGTCCTTTACGCCGTTTCATCCTGCCAGCGACAATTAATGAGTATATATGTTGTGCAATGTATCTATACCAATATAAAAAGATCCAAAGAGGCAGATCCAACAAATCCTGGCCATCAAATCAGGTCAATCCAACGACTCAGGCTGCTCCAATGGTGGGCGCTCAACACGTTTAGTGTGCAGTTAATATCATACCAAATATTAATGTCAATGCTAATCACATAATTAATACTCAAATAATATCCTACCTAATATTTACATGTAATTAATATATTACCTAATATCAACGTGCATTGCACGTACACAATTACTAGTGAAATAAATAATCCATAACGGACAAAAAATCTCAAGAGCAATCTCTTGACTACCAGATATGATTTTGTACCAGGAATAGTAAACAGAACACGACTACCTTCCAAGGTACAGTAAATCATAACTGTAGAAATCCAAATTAGTTTCTTTATTCGGCGCTGACTCATGTAAGCAGCAACGTGATATTCTTCCTAAACCAACAAACATCAAGAGCTTGATAACTAACTGCAATGAAGTGCTATAAAAATTGCCTTTGCTTCTGAGGACTATGAAAACCTATAGCAGCTACACACAAGTAGACTAGTAAAATGTACCAGAGCTAAACTGCTTTACTCCTAGTAAAAAAAAGCCTCAGTGCACCAATATTCTCAGAATTAACATTCCATGATCCATATTTCCGGACTATTCCCTCTGTTCACTTCTATAAGACGTTTTAGATGGTTCAGGCAGCTTCTAAAACAGTTCAAAATCAGCTGTCTAAAACGTCTTATAAAAAGGAACGGAGGGAGTACATGTTACTAGTACTTCCAACTTTTGCTCGGACATTGGTGATTGAGGAACTGTTCAACTTTTTCTCAGACATTGGTGATTGAGGAACTATTCAAGACTAACAAAATTGTCTCAGATTGGTAGGATAGACATCAAACCAAAGAGGCCAACGAATTAGGTAAAATTCTAGATTTGTGCCAAAAGAAGAATGTGGCATTACGAATGCAGAAAGCTGTGGTCTAAACATGTGATTAATAATCAAGTCCTGCTTGCTTGTGGCATAACGAATGCAGAAAGCTGGAGTATATTCCCATTATGATCTAAATGTGTGATGACTAATCAAATCCTGCTTACTTCCATAATGTAAAAGAGCATTTGTACGCTAATAACTCTACGAAAGCACCTACAAGAGAATGGGCATGGATTGAGTCTGTACTTTTGGGCAACTTCCTTGCGCACTCCGTATCTTATTTTCTTATCAAAACATCTTTCCTTCCTCTTCTCACGGAACCTCATTAAGGAAGCAACCCTTTTGGCAGCCACAGTTGTACTCTGCAGACATGAGACAGAGCTTACAAACTAAAAGCATTCACACAACCTTGTTGTAGAGATTATAAAGCTGATGGTACCTTTTCACCATATGCAGTAGGCCCAGCCATGCTTACTAAACCAGGAGGCACCTCACACCCTCCAAGCACCAACAGAGCAGCTTGAACCTGTATAACACTAAGAAATTAATCAAGTAAACCAATTACAAATGACCATGAACTAATCACCAGAAACACTTGAACGATGATTTAACAAATAGTGATTTGATCATGTAATCACCCTTGAAACGTAATATGGTATGTCCAGAGACGTCTCTCCCGGTGGTGCCTAGCACTTATGAGCGTAGTGTTGTAATTTTGGGGTGCTGGCCCTTCCATGGGCTTGCACATAACTATTCCTTCGGTCAATGCATCAAGGCTCAAAGCTTTTTGTGTTTTGTCAAAGGAAAAAAAAACACGCACACAAGCATAGAAAATGGACTTCCGTTTTTGTGCAATTCGGTATGACCACATAGGAGTGCATGGCCTACAAACATCATTAAGACGGTGAATCTTTTGTCAAAGAACCATCAAGAACCGTACCCTAACATTGAACTATGGCACCTGCAAAATCACTGACAGATGGATGGCCACGCAAATGCAATAAGGAATAACGTCAAGCAGAAGAAGAGAAAAGGGTAAGAAATTTAAAAACAGTACAAGGATAGCAACAGAACAGGGATGGCAGTTTCGGTTACATAAGACAACTAAACTTTGATAATCTCCATAAGAAAATTAAAAATTCATTCAAAACAATCATACTTCGCCAAGTCTGGCAGCATAAGCAAGCATGCATAAGCACATGAAAGAAAGAAGAATCATCTGAAATCTATCTAAGAAAATGGCACACTTTAGCAATCAAGCGCAGCAAACTCGATTCCAGTAAGATAGCATAGCCAAACTAATAAAAGTTAAATCAAATGTAAGCAAATATTAGCCCCTTTCCTAAAGCTCGAACGACAGAACAGTCACAGAGGACACATTCTTGGCGCAATTCAATTCAGCAAGGGCGCAAACAAACCCTCGCTGCTTCAAATATTCAATCTATCCACAGTACTTAACCGATTCCTCTGAAAGTTCAATCATCAACAGAACAACAACAGAACTAAAAAAAACATTTCGACAATACAATTCAACACATATTACTAGGCTGGAAATCGAGGGAGCTATCTCCATGACCGTGCAATTCGGCTGCAGGGAACATGAAAATCGATGGAATGATCGAAATCCACCAATAAACGTATGTTTCCTCGGCGCAATTCGCCCAACGCAGACAAAGTCAACGCGGCCGGCTCAACGAAAGCAATGGGAAAAAAATTGAAGCGAACGGTGCAGAAGGGGCGACCTTTTGGGGCGGGACGGGGTCGAAGACGTAGACCTCCCCCTGGTACACCAGCGTCAGCTGCTCCGAGGCCGCGCTCAGGAGCGCGTTCGCCGCCGCGGCGTCGTCGTCGCCGGAGGCGGCGGCGGCGTCCGCCAGCGGGGGATCCTGGCCGTCCGCCGCGGGCTCCGCCGCCATCGGCCGGGGATCGGACGGTTGGTATGGGCCAGGACCCGGGAGAGGCGGCCGGGCTCTCGGTTCGCGCGCACGTGTGGGGGATGGGTGGGAGCCCGCACGTGTGATGGATTATGTACGGGCCTGCGTGTCTGGTTGAGGAGAGCGTGTGCGTGAGGGCTGCGTATGGAAGAAAATCCTATGCGACCCGGGTCGTACGCCCACGTCGTGAGACCCTCTCGAAAGAAGGACACTTAGCAAAAGCTTTTCAACGCAAGCAATTAATTTTCTAATTAATTCCAGCAACAAATCGCTAATCACGTTCCGTCCGTCCCACTCTATTCCCCACGCCTCCTAGTCCTTTCAGCTTCTACTCCTATTCATCTTCTCTGTCTCTTCCATCTCGCCGGCGACGAGGCCGCACCATGGCGCAGCCGGATGACGGCGACGAGGCACCAGAGCAATCAACATATATGGCAGCACATCCATCGGGACCTCCTCTGCCCACATCTCCACTCATGGTGAGTACAACCTTCTGCACGAGAAATTATATCCTTCTGAACCACGTTCGATTGATTTCAGTACTCTCGCAGCAGTCGCCGTGGAACACAGTTCCACCATGGACGAGCAGCGCAACAAGAAACGATCGGGAGTTTCAAGATGGAAATATGGCAGGCCATCCATCGGAACCTCCTCTACCCACACCTCCTCCACTGATGGTGAGTACAACTTGTTGCAAACAATATATAGTGAGCAGATTTAACACAAACATGTCTTTCTTCAGAAGCACGCATCAAAGTTTTGGTAAAGAACAGATTAATAGCATCAATCCTTTGTATAATTATTTATTTCTGAACCATGTTTGAATGATTACATTACCCTCGCAGCAATCGCAGAACACAATTCCACCGAGGATGAGCAGCACAGCAAGGAACGATCAGGATTTGCAAGATAAAAATATTGTTCCAAGAGTTGGGAAGACCTTTCAGTGTGAGGAAGAGGCATATCAGTTTTACAATTCTTATGCTCAAACCAAAGGATTCAGCATTAGGAAGTGCCACCTTAAGCATAGAGGAGATGGGACTTTAAGTTCTAGATATTTTGTTTGTAGCAAGGCAGGTGTGAAGGGCACTCATCCGACACATGTATCCAAGAAAGAACAAACTAATTCGAGAACTGATTGCATGGCTCGTGTTCAATTCAGCATCACTCGGGAGGGTATTTGGAATGTGCAGAAAGTCATGCTCGATCACAATCATCAGCTTGTAAGTCCAGATAAGAGGCACATGCTTAGATCACAGCGTCAACTCTTAGATGCCGATCGCCATATGATTAAGCAGATGAGGACATCGGGAATTAAACAAGCTGAAATATATGATTTCTGTGAGCTTTGGTATGGTAAAGATGCGTACCCTTCTTGCAAGTGGATTGCAACAATTTTTTACGAAGTGAGCGCTCAAAGTATTTGGAAACCAAAGATGCTCAAACATTAACAGAGTATCTAAAGAACAAGCAAGCTGAGGACCCTTCGTTTTTCTACGCCATGCAACTAGATGATGATGATGGCACAATAATGAATATCTTCTGGACCGATGGACAAGCTATCATGGATTACTCTGTCTTTGGAGATGCCATTTCCTTTGACACCACATTTTCAACAAATAAGTTTCAAATGCCATTCGCTCCGTTTATTGGTGTTAATTATCACAAACAGACTATTCTTTTTGGTGCAGCACTCTTATATAATGAAACTACAGATACCTTTGAGTGGGCTTTTAGAACCTTCCTACAAGCTATGTCTGGTAAGCAGCCTGAAACAATATTCACCGATCAATGTGCTGCCGTTATAAATGCTATTGGAAGGGTTTTTCCGGAAACACGACATCGTCTTTGTTTATGGCATTTGTACCAGAATGCCGCTAAACATCTAAGCCATGTAATTAGCGACCATCCTTTGTTCCTTAAAGAATTCAAAAGATGTGTGTATGAAGATAGATCAGTGGCACATTTTGAGAATAGATGGCATGAGCTCTTGGTTAAGTACCAGATTGGGGGAAATTCTTGGATAAACAATCTGTACAAGTTGCGTGAGAAGTGGGCTACTATTTATCGTCGGGAATCTTTTAGCGCAGACATGACATCAACACAAAGGAGTGAAGGAATGAACAATGTGTTCAAGAAAACTTTCCGCAAAAGATTATGCCTTTCAGAATTGATACAAGCATATGAGAAGTGCATTGCTCGTCTTCGCCGGAAAGAAAAATATGAAGACTACAAGTCACGCCATACCAACCCAGTACTCTGCCTACCTAGCCTACCTTTGTTGAAGACTGCAGCGGAATCATATACCAGGACGCTCTATTCCGAGTTCGAAGAAGAATTCAAGAAGCAATTTAGTTTGTCATGTATTTTGCTGAGCACTGATTACACAGTTAGCACTTACAAGTTGACATCTTTTGAATACAAGAATGATGAAGCCATAGTGGCTTTTAATCCAACTACTTTGGAGATATGGTGTTCATGCAAGTTGTATTGCTGTATAGGTACGCAACATGCTTCCTCACTTCCTTAATATGATAGCCTTTGAAATTACTTTCTAAAATAGTTTTGAATGTTGTAGGTATATTATGCAAGCACACTCATAAGGTTTTGACCTGCTGCAATATCATCACCCTGCCAAGTCAGTTCATATTGAACAGATGGACAAAACATGCAAAACAAGAAATTTTTACTTTCAAACCGAATACCGATGATAGCCTAGACTCTATGTTTGCACATAATTCTTGAAAAATGATGTCACTTGCATTGAAGTGTAAAACTTCGAAGGAGGTTCTTACATATCTGAACGTTGGTATTGATAAGTTGGCTTTGGAAGCACATGAATTATTTGGCAATCTAAACTTAGATGAGAATGATGATTCTGAAAGTTCCTCCGAAATGAATGAATATGTTGCCAAGACAATGGTGCTATTCAAAGCTCCTGAACGAATAAAAGGTCCAATGAAAAAAAGATCAAAAGATGTTCTAGAGGGAGCAAAGAAAGGGAAAAAGAAAGGTACATTTAATTCTTATGTGTGAATAAGTAGCAAAGTTTCACTTCTATTTCTTATATTCACATAATGTGCAGGAAAAGGTACAAACCATCCAGCAAAGGAGTCGGTGCTTGTTCCACCTACAATTGGCCCTTCAGAATTCGCCGGTGCCAGTACTATATGTCCGCCTGTAGCCATGGCATTTGGAGAGTGCCCACTAGTTTCTGTTCCACCTATTCAAGGAGAATTTACAAGATTATTGCTTGAAGCTCATGGAGATGGCACAACATTGCCGGCTGCTCGTCAATTAGATTTCAGCGAAGATGCTAGCACATCAAGGTTTCAGCAGTGACGTATGTATCATACGCTGATTCTTGTTGTTTCCTTAAAGCTAGTTAGCTGGGCATGTCAGCTAAATGGTGTTATTAGCTATGTGCTTGTGTTGTTACCTGAATATTGGTGAACAAATATTTTCAAACCTTGTGCATTTGTCTCTTTGGCAAAACTGGAAAGTTCTATTCTCTTATTCTGTAGCTATACTCATCAGGATGGTCAATCTTATTTCTCTGAAAGTAATGACTATATGCAATCTTATTCTGTAGCTATATTCATCAGGATGGTCAATCCTAAAGTGCAGTCATATTTTGCAAAAGAGTCATGTACAAGCAACATTACACACAACAGCTTGTATTCTTGCCTTACAAAAAATCTCTTTTGTCAATTACCACGAATTTCTATTCACAGTGTACATCAAATTATTTTATACAACAGCAGCTCAATCACTGGCAAGATGTGCCAACTACAAAAAGTTGTACATGTATCAGTACCTCATCAAATCATTGACAAGATGAACAAACTACAAAATTTTGTACAAACTACAAAGTTCCTTCCTTTTGCACATTTATCCTTGGTCATCACTGGCAACATGAGCAGCTCAAATCATTGGCAAGATGTACCCTTGGTCGTCACTGTTGGGGCTGTCTTCTTTGCACACTGTCAGGTCAGTCCAGCCGCGGGGGAGAGCACCGGGGGCGGCGGCCACAGCTGCGGCCGCGGCGAGCGAGCTCAAGAAGCGCCTCAGCCGCCGCGAGCGAGCTCGAGAAGCGCCTCAAGGGAGAGCAGCCGAGGCAGCGAGGGCGAAGGCGACGGGGCGGCTCTGGCTACCGTGGCGAGCGAGCGGAAGAAGATAAGGGGAATTGGGTTTTCGTGGTGGAGGTTAGGATTCAGGTTTTTTTTAGTGAAACAGAGCATAAATGTCGGAGCTGACGTATGTGGTTCGCTTTGCCAAGTGTCCTCCTCTCGAGAGGGTCTCACAACGTGGGCGTACGACCCGGGTCGCATGGGATTTTCTTCCGCTACGTATTTTGGGTTTCCGTTTCTAAACCGGGATAACGTCTCTTGGGTTTGACATGGTGGCGAAGTGAGGGACGGGTTTGACGCCATTATCTACTAATTCTTTTCTTGACAATACCTACGATCTATTCATCAAATATCATATAGCAATGCAAAGAACACAAGAAGCAATAAAAATTACATACTTGTTTGTAGATCACCTAGCGACAACTACAAGCATTAGATTGAATCGAAGGCGTGCGGCGTGCCACCGTCATCACTCTTTTTCATCGGAGTTGGACAATCTTGTTGTAGTAGCCAGTCAGAAAGTCGTCGTCATATCTATCCCTAATAATAAAGCACGGATTGACTCCGTGGGTTCACCGTCACAATACGCTTCTTCACGAGAATTTACGCTTTCATACCCATTAATTTATTCTATTAAGTGAAAGAAAAAAACGATTCGACGGAAGCTCTCTCTTGCACGAGAACCAGAGACGCCCGGCGCTAGGGTTCCCTCCGCCGCCGCGCGCCATCCCTCCGCTCCCAGCAACCCTCGCTACTCTCTCCCATCCCCTTGCAGTCGCCGTCGTAGTGCCCTGCCATTGGTCACGACGGAGATAGCTTCTGTCGCGCCGCTGGATCAACGGTGGTGGCTGG